ACCTGTCCACTCTAACCCCTCCTGACCCCCCCCAGGTGTGTTACCTGTCCACTCTAACCCCTCCTCACTCCTCCAGGTGTGTTACCTGTCCACTCTGACCCCTCCTGACCCCCCCAGCTCCCACCCCACACCCCCAGGTGAGCGTTACCTGGTCCAGGTACTTGGCCTGGATCTTGTGGCGGGCCTCGCACATGCGGCAGGGCCGCAGGGGGTCGGGGAACACGAGCTGGTTCACCACGATGTTGTGGGTGTCGATGCGGCACTTGGCGAGCTCCTGGATGAGCCGCTCGGTCTCGTACAGCGACAGGAACTCGGCGATGCACACGCAGATGAAGGTGGTCTGCTCCTGCGGGGGGCACCGGCGGCGTTGGGGACAGCACAGCCGCCGCTGCAGGCGCGCGGGGACACGGTGACACCGCCCCCAGGGCTCTGTCCCCACACCTGCCCTCGGAGCTGTTTCCTTATCCCCGTGCTCATCTCTGTCCGTGCCCTCAGGGCTCCCCTGTCCCCCCTCCGTGTCCCTGTCCCTGCCCATCCCTGCGGGTTTTATTCCCCTCAGGAATGTGCACGGACTGGCCCCGGCCCCGTCCCCATCCCCGCTCCTTTCCCAGTCCCCCCAGTCCCCCCAGTGCCCCCCCAGTGCCCCCCCAGTCTCACCGGGTCCTTGAACTGCTCGCTGACCGAGCGGATCACGGGCAGCGTCTCCTCCAGCTTGGACGCCAGCTGGTCAGCGTTCATGTCCCCCAGCCCCAGCATGTTACACATCTGTGAGGGAGGGGACACGGCTGTGACACCTCCCTGTGACCCCCACCCAAAATCCGCCCCCCAGGACCCCCCCACCTGGGAGATGAAGGGGCTGATCTGGTTCTTGATCTGCATCAGGCGGCCCAGCCCTCGCTCCACGATGGTGGGGAAGTTGAGCAGGCGCAGCGTGTGCCCGGTGGGCGCCGTGTCGAACACCACCACGGAGAAATTCATCCCTTTCACCAGCCTGGGGGGCGCCGGGGAGCGGGGGGGTCAGCACGGAGCCCTCAGAGCCTCCCTCAGACCCGCCCCGAGCCCCCTCCCCGGGCCCACCTCATGACCTCGGCGTAGCTCATGGCCTCGTCGATGCCGGGGAAGGCGCTCATGGCTTCCTGCATCATTTTCTTGCCCATGCTGAGCACGTTGTCCTCCTCGAAGAACTCGTCGGGCAGCTCCGCCACGCCCAGGCTGGGGTCGATCTCCTGTACGAGAGGAGGGGAGGGGGCTCAGAGCGGCCCCGGGGGCTCCGTGCCCACCCCGGGACCCCCCCCACGGGGACCCACCATGGCGAACAGGTTGTCGTAGCCCGTGACCTTGGTGGGCACCTTGGAGAATTTCTGGTCGAAGGCGTCCGAGATGTTGTGGGCAGGGTCGGTGGAGATGATGAGGACGCTCTCACGGACCCGGGACAGCTGCACGGCCAGGCTGCAGCTATGGGGGGGTACGGGGGTGAACCGGGGGTGAACCGGGGGAGTCCTGGCCCGGGATCGGCGCCCCCGGTGCCCCGGTGTGTGTCCCTCCACAGCCGTGCATTGCAAAGGGGACAGGGGGTGAGCGTGTGACCCCCTCAGGTGTCCCCTCGGGGGTCCAGGTGTGTCCCCCCCGCCCCCGGGTGTCAGCTCCGGTTCCCCCCGAGGGCTCTGCCGTCCCCGCCGCAGCGGATCCTTCATCCCGGCCCGGTCCCACCGGAGCCCGGTGGCCTCCATCCCGTCCCGGAGACACTCCTCCATCCCACCCTGATCCCCCGCTCCGTGCTGTTCTCTCCGTCATCCCACCCCGACTCCTCCGCCCCATCCCCATCCCCTCACATCCCGTTCCTCCCGTCCCGTCCCGGTGCCCGCCGCACCTGCACGTGGTCTTGCCCACGCCGCCCTTGCCGCCCACGAAGATCCACTTGAGGCTGCGCTGCTCGATGATGTTCGCCAGCGTCGGCTCCAGCGGCTCCACGTCGGGCGCGTCCTCGAACTCCTCGGGGGCCTCGGCCGCCCATCCGCCCGCCGCCGCCGTCGCCATCTTCCCCGCGCCGCTGCCCGCCGCGCGGTGATTGGCCAGGCGGCCGCCGCGCCCTCCCTTCTCTCGGTTTCCATTGGTCGCTTAGCCCGTCAATCTCCGCCGGGGGCGGGGCGAGGCGGCGGGAGCCCCGCGCGTTGCCGGGCAACGCCGCCCCGCCAACGGGGGTCTGCTGACGTCACAAATCTGCGCCGCCGGCGGCGCGGCGGTCGCGCTGATGTCATCGGGCGGCGCCGGCGGCGGTGGCGGCGGACAAGATGGCGGCGCGCGGCGAGGACCGGGAGGCTCCGGAGGCGCCTTCGCCGCCCCCCCCGGGCCCGGGCGGCGGCGTCAACGTGTTCGCGAACGACGGCAGCTTCCTGGAGCTGTTCAAGCGCAAGATGGAGGCGGAGGAGCAGCAGCGGGAGCGTGAGGCGGCGGCGGCCGCGGAGGCGTCCGGTGGCGGCGGCACCGGGCTCGGCCCGCAGCGCGGGGCCGACGGCGCGAAGAGGAGCGGCGGCGCGCTCAGCTTCGTAAGGACGCGGTGGCCCGCGGGCTCCTCCCGGCTGCGCTGCCGCCGGCCCGGCCCGAACGCGTGAGGGGGGGCCCGGCCGGGGTCGCTCCCGGGGCTCCCCGGGGCTCCTCGGGTGCGGCGGCGCTTCCTCCCCGGTGCCGCTGCCGGACTCGTCTGTCCCGGTGCCTCCGCGCTCCCTCCGCGCTCTCCCCGGTTCTTTCCCTCCCGAGTTGCTCCAAACCCCCGTTCCGGGGGGGTTCGGGGCGGGTTGGAGCCCCCGGGGGTCACCGCGTCCCCCCCTCCCCGCTCCCGGTAACGGGGCAGGTGTGTCCCTTCCCCAGGTGGGGCGGCGGCGGGGGGGCAACAAGCTGGCCCTGAAAACGGGAGTGGTGGCCAAGAAGCAAAAGACGGACGA